ACTCCATGAACAACACCATCTCTGCATGGTGCGCTGAGGGCCGCTGCTACGGTTCTGCCGAGATCCCTCAACTTACAGCTACCGCCCCCTTCGTCATTACTTGCGACCAGATCTCTGGCCACAAGGCGTGCTCCGCTACCATTTCGGGTATTGCCCGTGCCATCTTCGCCAACGGCGAGCAAGTCGGTAAGTTTTACATACCACGAGGGACTTCCAGAATGGATGCTGACAGATTGTAGAACTTTGGGGCTGGTTGACCCCTGCTGGTTACTGCAAGGAGGGTGTTTGCACTGCTTCCATCACCGCTATCGGTGACCCAATGTACTAAGCGCGACCTACCACACCTAGTGTAGAGTTGTGATGGCTGAGATGACTGAGATGGGGCACCGACACTTGTCATTCCTTGTTCCACTTCGTGGGCGGGCCCAGTATGAAGTTTGATTGCTTCAGGATTTGATCGATATAGGTCTATTACGATGTAATGTTTTTTTGCGGTATCCCGCGACGCGTTGGCGCCGGTGAGCCAACTAGGTAGCAATGAAGTACTTAATATCAAACCAACAAATTTCGATTGAGAAGGACTGCCCTGAAATTGCGAAATGACAAAGGAGTATGCCTCGATTAAGCTTTGACAAGCGCGTCGTTAGGAGCCGTGCATTGATGACTGAGATGCCTGAAGCTTAGCCGGCCCGCATCATCGTTTTCCCGCTCCTGCTCATCTAAATTAAGTGACTTCCAACACCAAAGCCGACTAGCCTCAGGCACCCAGCCGCGCCACAACAGCACGATGGACGCATCCAGACGAAGTTCTCTCCTGTTGCCTGATCGTCTTCGCGGTCGTTTGTGTTTGTGAAGATTCTGTCTGACCCCATCCCACGCGCATGTCTCTGCGCATCCACTCGCTTTCTACTTAGTTAATACTTTAATAATGTCTTCTTCTACTCAGCAGCCGCAAGCGCCTGACGCGATCTCAGGAGGGCCTCCGTCTCCAGTCCCAACACCTCCTCCCAAGTCCATAGCAAGACTGTCCGACGCGACGAACGCGAATGCAACCTCGTCTGCGCACGCAAACTCGCCCCGAATGCCTCCCTCGAGCAGCCCTGCGCCGGGTGTTCCCACCATGGCACCCCCGGCGTCGATCCCGCACACGACAGCTCCACAGGGCACCGCGACCGAGACCGAGGAACGCCTTTCATACAACGACAAGCTCAATGCTGCCGATCGGTACTGGAAGTTCAAGTTTGGCCTCAAAGCCGCTGCCATAATAACAGGCCTGATCGGAGTCGGTTGCTTTGGCTGGTTGATGTCCACAATGGACAACGAATACGACCCGGACTCCTCTTATTCAATCAGCTACGAGAGCTACTGGTCTCTGTGGCCCAGTCTGATTACTTGGGCTGCCTCGATAGTCTGGTGTGCGCTCTGCATCATCTTGTTCCTTCTGCGCAAGCGACCTGTGCACCCAGGTCTCCGCGTAGCCATGGATCTTCTTCTCTGGCTTGGCTTTATTGTAACGGCAATGTTCGCTCTCATAGCCTTCCGATACCTGTCGAGGTGGGGTCTGTACGGATTCGATGAATGGGGCTGGGGTGCCTCGTACAACGATGGAGAGTACGTCCTGGCTTCCAACAACACATGGGTATGGGAACAAGATACGAGCTACGTCAACGCTCCGCGAGACTGTTCCGAGTCCTCTCAGTTTAGCAGCTGTGAGGAGCAGGACGCCTTCATCAACAAACTTTGGGCGGAAAAGGATCATCGCTCAAACGTCACTTTGACCGGTGTGGTATGCCAGTTCTTCGGCCTCGTCATTCACTTTGCGCTATTTGTGTGGGCTTGCGTTGACACGCATCGCCACCGCCGCCGCACAACGAGCAAGGACGCCGAGAAGCTTGCTGCGGAAATCGTGCAGAACATGATTAGCAATGGCGCTGTTGTGCCGCCACCAGGACAGGCACATATGAAACCACAGCCGGGCCAGGTCATGTACTATCAGATGCCGCCCAACCAGCAAGGGTACCCGATGCAGCCCCCAATTCAGCCCCCGTATATGCAACAAGGACCGGGTCAGATGCAGCAGTTTGGGCAGCAGTTTGGGCAGCACCCACAGATGACGCAGCCGGTTCAGCGCATGGCGCCCGGACAGTACCCAAAGGGTCAACCTAGTATGGTAGCCACGGATCTGCCTGAAAAGAGCGCCGGACCCCGTTACGCTTAAGCGAAGAGGTGGACATGTAGTACTATTTTCATTGAGGTTGAAGGAAGTGAATTTTCTTGGCGAGATACCCCAGCGAAACCTACTTAATAGTGTAAAGTTTATTCAACTGTTGACATCCATGTATCACCCTCGCGATGCCTTGTGCTAGTGCTGCAATACCTCATCCGAAACATTGAAGATGCGCAAGGTGGTGTCATCACTTGCTACGGCGATCTGTTGTTGCTCGCCATCTGCTCTTCCAGGTCGCCAGACGATCTGGTTGATAGTTTTCGCTGGCACCAAGTCTGCCTTGACCATTGATACTGGTGCCTGGACCAAAGCATCCGGCGATGTGCTCACAATGCCTATCTCTCCGTTCTCTGTACCAAAAGCAAACATAATCTTTCCCTTCGATTGGACGCCGTTACATGCTACAGCGGTAACAGCGGCGTTTGCTGATACGGTAGCCTTGAGCTGCACATCGTTCTCGGCGATCTGCCAGATCTTGACACTCTTGTCTCGACCCGCAGTCATGAATGTAGGTTGTTCGAGCGGTGTCCAGGCAGCGCCCAGTATCATCCGTGAATGGCCCTTTGGATTCGAGTGCTTGAGCGTGTATAGTGATGGCTCTTCACAGCGCTCCCAAATAACCCATTGTCTGTCTCGTCCAACACTAAGAAGGTATTTGTCGTCTGGTGAGAACTGTAGCGCTGTGACGGTGAGTGAATGGGCTTTGAGTGCAGGTTTGACTTCTAGCCATTCTTTCGTATCGTACAGACGTATGACGGCGTGGTCGATGGAGCTGGCTCGGCACGCCGTGGCAACGAGACTTCCGTCTCGGCTCACTGCAACAGCGGAGATCTCATAGCCATGTCCGTATAGCTTCTCCGTCTCCGGCCATAGTAGGTGGCGTGCCAGATGATCCTCGAATGGTGGGTGACTAAAGTCCAGCGTCGACTTGCGGATTACAGAGGCAGGGTCGACAGCTTCACGTTCATCTTCGTCACCGTTCTCAACGAGCTCGTCGTCCCCCACAGCTTGGATAGCTTTGTTCGATAACCCAAGGACGGGGATGTTGGCTGCATCTGGGAGCTCAGCAGTAGTTGACGCCTTGATACTGCAGAGATTTTGAAGCATCTCCGCTACACCTCTAGGTTCGTCGAAAATACGCAGCAACTTCTCGTCTGCGCCCGAGACGAATTGAGTGTTGGAGACCGCGTCGATGCAATTCAAGTCGTAGCCGTGGATTTGGGGCCGCGAGAACTCATGCCATGATGCTGGTGCGCCTTCTCGTTTCCATTGCGAATACAGCCGACTGGTTTGATCGGAGCCAGTGGAGAGCATGTAGGACCCATCTCTTGACCAGCTCACGCCTTTGACTTCGCGCACATGTCCTGTGATGGCGACTCGCTGTGTCCACATATCTTCTATGGCCGAGTACGTCCACTTCCTCCAGCTACCAGTTCGTCCCAGGGATACCACGGTGTTGCCATCTGGCGACCATAGACCAATCCAGAAACCTCCAGCACTTCCAGTAGCGCTCGTCGAGCCCTTCTGCGCACTTATCTCGCCTAGTCTGGTGATGCAAACCCACACACCAGAGTTAGGGTCAGACTCCCAGATAGCGAGTGAATTGTCTTCCGAAGCGGTGAGTAATTGGAGCTTTCCCTCGCGATGTCTCCACGAGGCCTGGTATATCCAATCTTCATGTCCTAGTAACAACGCTTCGAATGTAATGGAGTACTTGGATAAAGCAGAGCTAATCCAGTGTGCTTTGTTCGACAGGGACTTGCCCAATCCACCCAACGCTGGGTCGTTGAGTGCAGTACTGGCAGCGGGAAGCTCATCTCCACGGTGGAGGCGCCAGAGACGGATGTACTTGTCTTGACTTGCAGATGCCAGCAGTAGGTCGCTATTCGGATCAGACGTTTCTCTGGTGAATGCAAGCGCGCGTATCCATCCTTCGTGACCGGTAAGAGTTGCCGAAAGCTGGAATTGGCCTTCTTGCGATACGAAGACTTGAATGGTGCTACGCGTGCCCGCAACTGCTAGTACTGTAGATTTGTCGTCCAGAGTTGCAAGTGCGAGGTCCAGAGGGAAGTACTTTGGCGATAGTGTAATGGTCTGTACAAGCTCGACATCGACAGACCCGAAGTCTGCATCATGAACAAGCTTCCAGACCTTGACTGTGCCGTCTGAAGATCCGGTTGCCAAAGTGTCCGAGCCAGGCAGCACAGCTATTCTGGTGACTGGCTGAATGTGATCTGAAATCGTCTTGACACAGTCGAAAGGTTCGCCTCTTCGACCTTGCCATATGCGGATTGTGTTATCCGCCGATCCACTGAGCAGGACCGAGACATTGGGCAATTGTGTTGGAAAGAATTTGACAGCGTTCACAGCCTTGGTATGCCCACTCAGAATTGCTTGCACGCCACGAAGACTTTCATCCTATCTTGGTGAGTGAAGGTTGTGTCATTGGCCAGCCGCGACTCACCTGAGGATCCCAGAGTGCGATGCAGTTGTCTGCGCCGAACGCTAGCAGTTGCGACCCAGCCTCATCCCAGTCAGCGGCCGCGGGATTTCGATTGCCACCTGCAGCGATGAACTCAGTAGATATGTTCATTGTTGGGTCTAGGCGTTGCGTATGCGCAGGCACCGCATCTAGTCATCGCCGTAAGGATTTCTTTGGCGCTAGCCTCGCTTAGCTGCATTTGGCTCAGGGCTGCAGAGCAGGCGCAACCGATCTCGATAACATCCGAATCTCTCACAACTTTCTAGCATCTCACAGACGAACAGAGACGAAATGTCAAACGATGAGACGATTTCAATAACGATAGAGTTCAGGTAGGTCGGTTGTCGTGCGAAACGGCGATGTTCCTCTCTAATCTTCTACAGCGGGGGCCTGGAGATCCTGTTCGCCAACCAGAAAAAGTATGATCTTGCCCTACCAGCCAAAGATGAGTCTGGAGAGCCAGCAAACGTTGCGTTCCTTGTCAGATACCTTTGCGACAAGGTCATGAAGGATCCGCGGAAAGAACTTTTCGTGCTTGATGATACTGTGTATGTTCCTGCTTCAAGGGAAAAAGAACTTGCTGACACAAGCTTCAGACGACCTGGAATATTAGTTCTTATCAACGAAGCAGACTGGGAGCTGGAAGGCGAAGACAAGTACGAGGTTCAGAGAGGCGATCACATCATGTTCGTATCTACGCTACACGGAGGATAGTCAAAAACCGCCAAAGCCGAAATAAAATCCGTGTCGGAAACCACACTGCAATGTACCGAATCACACAAACATCTTGCATGTGACAATGTCGCATTGCAGCTGAAAGCACCAACATGAACGGCCGGCGTATACAAGTTCGCGGGAGCCCGGAAGCGGTCCGATAGACACCTCACCCTTACGAACTAACCGTAAGCGCTACTTAGGCTCATGATGACAGGGGCCTCACCCCTCACGATATATGTTAGACTCCCTTCTACACCGTATCTTGCGTCTACTCATCTCTTCTCTGATTTCAATTCGCAATTATGGGCCGCCTTGACATCTTGCCCGCGCACGTCGATCCCTCAATCTTCGACGCCAACGATGTTTTCCTCGGCACTGGCGGTATCTTGTACACAATCTGCTACGCCCTGATGGCGCGACAATCCATTCAAGACCGCACATACGCCATGCCCCTCTTCTCACTCGCCTTCAGTAGGTGTCTCCGTACGAATTGCACATGACACGTACTGACCCGGTACACCAATGTTTAGACTTTGCATGGGAGATTGTATTCGCGATATATGTTGCCGATGAGCTCCGGGAGCAGGCTCTCTTCGCCCTCTGGGGCCTCTTAGACATGGGCATTGTCTATGCGGCTGTCACGTATGGCGCGAATGAATGGAGACATGCGCCAGCAGTTGGCAGGAACATCGGCAAGATCTTTGCTGGCATGTTGGTATGGTGGTGCATCGCGTTGTATGCTGTGAGCTCTTGGTGGCTTGATGTCGATCACCCCGTCAACCCAAAAGTTGGAAAAGCGTACCGCGGTATCATGGGCATCGATAAGGATGAGCTCGGCTACTGGACTGCTTTGGTCGCACAGGTCGTGCTGAGCGTCATGTCATTGGCACAGCTTGTGGTTAGAGGAAGCAGTCGCGGCTCGTCGTATAGCATTTGGGCGTGCCGGTTTATCGGCAGTGTGTCGGGTTTGACGGTGAACTACGGATATGTCTGGTGGGTATGGCCAGAGGCACATGGCTACTATGTCAATCCGATATCAGTGGTGATGATGGTGACATGGATACTGGCTGATCTGGGATACTTGGTGGTGTTTCGCAATGTGCAGCGGACGGGCGGGGCTGTCGACGGCAAAACCAAGTGAGCGACTGTTGTAGGAGATGGAAGTACTCTAGATTAGAATGCTCATAAGCTCCAGCCGTGTATCTCTTGCTTTGTACGCAGGCGCATCCTCGCTGGAGAGAGAGTTGATTGAGCTCGAAGCCGTGTTACCCGGGTAGGCCGCCAAGTCCTGGTCACATGCTTTCGCGACAGCGCGTTCAGGGTCCTGCCATGCCGGACCGCTTCCGCTCCTCAACAAATGTCCTTGTTTACCCAATCACCAACACTCTCATCACCACCACATCTCGACTTTTGGACACATGGAGTCTGATGATGAAGATCTCAAGCTGGCGATGGCAATGTCCTTACAAGCGAATTCGCCCCGGACTACTGGCGTCAGCGCATCGGGCGATAAGCACGAGTCAATCGACCTCACGTCTGACACCGAGGACGAAGATGATGACGATCTCAGGCGTGCGATTGCCCTATCCATGCAGGAAAGCGGGAATAGTGACATGCAACAGTCATCGGCTTCGAGCGCATCGACAACGGACGTGACTAAAGCAGCAGCTGTCGTCGACAAACCTCCAGGTTTCATGGGTATCGATCGAAAAGCCATGGAATTGGAGCGTCTCGCAAGGCTTGGTAAAAGGAAGCGCGAGACATCCCCCGAGGTATCTTCTAAGCAAGTTGCAAGAGCGCCCACCGCGAACAGTGATGCGAACGAAACACCGTTACAATATCCGAACGGCGCGATCAAGCGCACATTTGCGTCGAAGTACCCACGAACTGACGACATCACCATTGAAGAACTACTAGAAGCCGACAAAGTCAACACCGCTGTCATCAGCTCATTTCAGTACGACTCGGGATGGCTATACGAAAAACTCGACCCGGCAAAGGTCAAGCAGATCTGGCTGATGACTGGCAAGCACAGAGGCGAGGACGTTCAAGCAAAGCGCATTCAAGAATGGAGGGAGTCTCGCGTACCGAACATGAAGCTACATTTTCCGCCTATGGGTGGCATGATAGCAACCATGCACAGCAAGTTCATACTGTTGTTTGGAAAAGACAAGCTGCGCATTGCGGTCCCAACTGCAAATATGACACAGACCGACTGGGGCGAGGTCGCAAACGACTGGCAGCCCGGTATCATGGAGAATTCGGTGTTCTTGATAGACCTCCCTCGCAGACATGACGGTACTGTCACGGAGGCGAAAGACTTGACACCTTTTGGTCGCGAATTGGTATACTTCTTGGAGCAGCAGGAAGTGGGTCCGCAGGTCATCACCGGCCTGTTGAAATGCAACTTCTCGAAGACTAGTCATTTGGCCTTTGTGCACTCCGTGTATGTCCTCAACTAAGTTCATCGAGGGCCAGTACTAATTCAAAATAGTGGCGGTTCGCACAAGACCGAATCAACCCATCCCACGGGTCTCCCTGGCCTCGCGCATGCTATACGAGAGCTTCATTTAGACGACGTCGAACGTATCGAGCTCGACTATGCGGCATCCTCCCTCGGTTCCATCAATGATACCTTCTTATCGCGCATCCGTCTCGCAGCATGCGGCAAGTCGTTCGGAACAGACACTGCACCGGAACCCAACCTGCGCGATTGCTTTCGGATATACTTCCCTACCAACGACACGGTTGAAAAGAGCATGGGCGGCCCTGACTGTGCCGGTATCATTACGTTGACAAGACAGGCGTACAACGCACCATCATTTCCAAGAGAATGCATGCGAGACTACGACTCGATGCGACGAGGGATGCTGTCGCATAACAAATTGCTCTTCGCGCGAGGTCGTAAGAAGAATGGAAAGCCCTTTGCCTGGGTTTACGTCGGCTCTGCCAATATATCCGAATCAGCGTGGGGAGGGCAAAAGGTGTTGAAAAGCGGACAAATGGGGAGTCTGAACATTAGGTACGCGAAACACACATCCGCATCTGGTTTGTTCCTGGACATATGCTGACCCGGTATACACATCACAGGAATTGGGAGTGTGGTGTTGTCATGCCTGTACCAGAGACAAAGCTTCAGGGTCTCAAGCAGGATGACGTACCACCGATGAGCGTGTTCGACGGCACTATTGAGGTTCCCTTTCGAGTGCCTGCGGACGAATACAAGGGCAAACAGCCCTGGTTCTTCAGGTCATGAACTGACTTTAGTTGCGTCGGTGCAAACGAAACGGCGACTCCGAAATCTTGGTTCTCCGGGCGGAACCGCTGGATATTTAAGTTGTCTCTGGTGCGCATGTGGTGATCGGAGACATCTCCGCCCAGCAAAACCTTTCTGATTGCACACAAACAGGGGTTCCACGCCTACTTCAGTCAAATAGAGATGAGTTCGACCCAGACAGAAAGCGACGCAGGGCTTTGCAGGGTCCTGATGCAGACCGTATATGCCGTATTGCAGTGCACGTGATTGGACACGATGCCTGGTGTCGATCATCAGTACATGTGCGAACCGAGTCTTCCCGGAGCAGCCGGACCAATGCGGGCGCGCGTGGACGAAGCGGACATTCGGGCGTCTTAGCAAAAGTTCCGATGCGCCTCCACGCCCGCACGACGTATGAGCCATGATGACTCCAGGGCGGTATATGCATACGCCATGAAGCTGTGAGTTCTGCCATGATAGTACGGACCCTTCTTTATTTGTATCACGCATGTGTCCCCTTGATCTAGCCTCATGTCGGACCCAAAGCGCACGCGTCTCTCTGGCGATGCCTTGTTACTGCATGATGCTAGCAATAGAGCCATAACCGCGCCGGTACACACCTGGTTCACTTCGCCTGCGCGGACGCACAACAACATAGCGCAAGCGAAAGAGCTGCCCTTGCACCTGATCCAGCTCATCCTCACACACGTACGTTGGTCTGCGCCCTGCCACGCGACGAGCTGTCCCAATTGAGCTATACTAACACGCACGGAAGCTTGACGATGTCGGTGACCTCGCGCGCGTCACGCGCACATCGCGTCTGTTCTACTACATGACGCTTCCGCGGCTCTACGAGACGGTTACGTTACACTCGTACGCAGAGATACGATACGTAGATGGCAGGCCAGAAGGCTACGGCAATGGCAGCCCGTTTGCCATGGGCCTCAATACGCTGGTGTCGCGAAACTTTGGCGACTACATACAAACGTTCCGCGTCAAAGGCGACTGGCGAGAACATGACACGGAGGAATACAAGCAGGGTCGAGTGCCGGACAACAGCATGATACTGCAGGTTGTCATGCGTGCTGCCATCGACAAGATGAAGAACATCAAGGCTTTTGCGTAGGTGTCGTACCATAATTATACTGCACAACTGCTGATATGCCCAGTTGGGAGCTGAGCACTCCTCCTTTGTATACCGTCTACCAGGGCATCACAGCCAGGACATCGCTTGTCTCGCTCACCCTTCGGTGTCAAACCAAACGAACACCCCGGCCGACCACCATTATACCTCCGCTTCCGAACCTAACAACTCTGATCGTGTACGATATCGATCCTCTCTGCTACCCCGACGATATCTCGCTGCTTCTGTTGGGTTCCAAGAAGCTCGAGCACCTCACATTACACTGGAGTCCGCGCATGCGGGCTGTGGGTGAAGAGTCGGTTTCGCTGCACTCGTTATTCGGACGATGCATGGCTGCCAAGTATTCTATACCTCTTAAGCACCTGGGACTATACAACATCTACACTCGCTTCTCTGACGATGGCTTCCACTATGTTATCCGCCCCGACACCCATACGGAGCTTACTCTGATCAACTCTATGGGCTCCTCGGACCCCATGACCGTTTTTGCCGACGACTCTTGGAGGATACACAGTAATCACCCGACGCCCTACAATCTGAAGATGATGCGCACGGATAATACGGATAAAGAGAGCGCTGTCATGCTAGGTAAATTCAAGGGCATGGAACGGATTTACATTGTGAGCAATAGGCGAGGCAAAGACTCACCAAAATCTACCAGCGCTGCTGCGACCCCAACAACACCGTCCACGATGACGCCCGGTTTCAATGGGGTTACTAGCGCGAGCAGCACTCCAAAACACACGACTGACCAACGCTGTCGCAGCATCGGGAGTGAGTTTATTGCGGCCATTCAAACCATGCACAACCACAGCATACGCCATCTCCTTCTCTCGGATCGCTGGGTACTTTCCGACGATGCCCTGTTCAGACTCTGCCAAACGTGCTCTAATTTGGAGCAAGTTGGCTTTGCTTGCTCAGTCCCACCGCTTGAGTCTCTGCGCCAGGTCTTTGCTCTAGTGCCCAAGCTCTGGGCCGTCCGTTTTCTGTTCCGTCCAAGCTCTGACACAAGCGAGGCGCCGTATCAGATCACAGATGCTGAGATGCATGCCTTTGCGATTGGAACAGAGTTCTGGCGACCGGAGTACAAGAACGTCAAGTACGTTGGCTACGGCGATAGCATTGTGCTCAAGCTAGGCGACGTTTACTACCCATCAAATAAGGAGTCGACACCGAACAGTAATGATAACAGCTTGAATGCGAAAAGAGCAGGGCCAATAAGGAAGGTTACAGTTGTGAAAAGGGAAGATGTAAATCACATCGAGATTTGGGGAAAGGACACTACGGAATTTGATCCCATGAACCCTTGATGCGGAAATGTCAATAGGACAGAAACTATATGTCCGTCGCGACGAAGTCGACGCAACGCTTCCTTCGCGCATACTCTACATCCCGGAGGCTCCTGGAGGAAACCGGAATCAGCCCCAGTAGGCACCGATGCCGCCAGATAGGAACCAAGGCACATTTCCCGTCCACCAATGCCAAGTGGTGTTGACAGCGGTAGTGTGACTTAATTGCTTGAATAGGACCTTCCTTTATTGGGAGCTCACTTTGCTTGCCAAAAGCAAGCCAACAATGTATACTAGTACGAGGCAGTCGTGGGAGATACGACTTTGTACAATACGACCTACCAGGACACGTTGGGCACCTGTTCGGTGCCTCAAATTGATAGAGTTCATTACGTTTCTTACTTCTGATTCACTCCTTTGTTGGCGCAGCTTCCTCAGCTCCGTCACCTGCTATTCGGCGTTTCGAGGTGACCACGGATATCTGCTAGATCCCAACAACGACACATGGACACAATGAGAAGTCTTAGACACTATAAGACAATATCGGTGAACAGAGCTAGACGTGGTGAAGGGTTCTCCAGCATTGCTTGTTGCCTACCGCAGCATCGCATCCGCGCCTTTCACCATCAATAGACCGTGCTCTTTGGCGTTAACACTCAACGTATTCATTACGTAGACTATATGGCGATTCTACTCGCGACGACCCTTCGATCGACGCATACAGTGAGCGGCGTACATCTCTACAGCAACATCTGACGACGACATGAACCCCAAATCGATTCATAAAGAGACAAACGGGTTGTACACGCCTATCCGTGAAGCAGGCAAAGGTACGTGCGGAAGCATCACATTCTGTGTACAAACACCGTCGGCTGCAACCTCTCCCACGACCGGTCCCATGGCGCAACGAGCAGCCGTTGTCGCCGTCAAGGTACCCAGTCGAGCAATGTGTCGCGACAGAATAGCCGATGAGATCACCGCTCTCGAACGCATCCGCAGTCTTTTCTCCGCCGAAAAGAACAACACTGTTGCGAAGCACCTTCCTATCCTCATTAACAACGATCCAGTCAAGGACGGTGGATCTGGCTGGCTGGCCGTTAGTCCTGTCTGCGGATTTGACCTTGAGCGGCTTCGAGTCGTCGTCACCTCGGCAGTTCAGCCCTCGTCAGAAAAGGACACTTCTCGCCGTTTCACCTTCCCCGCGATACCGGAGGTCCTCATACTACACATCGCAAAGCAATTAACGCAAGCGATCGGCTGGCTCCACAACGTGGCCAACATCTCCCACAACGACGTCTTTGGCGGGAACGTCATGCTCGATATATCCGCCTCGACCCAAGCCCCCGATTTCACTTTCATATTCCCAACCGTCGTCTTAATCGACTTCGACCGCGCAACCCTAAACCCTGACAACATGGCAAAAGGAGCCGACCGCTCCTATACTTACGAACTAGTATACATGCTCGATAATGCAGGGCGAGCGTCATTACAAGAGACGAACACAATGGAAGACGCGATCATCACGACAAAAGAATCGATGACCTGGTGGGACGCGTTTAGAAACTTTCTTATTGTTAACAAGGGCCAGTATCTCCAGGATGAGGCGGCGGGTTTTGCGAAGTTTTGGGGAAGGTTTGGCGAGGATGTCGATTGGAGGTTGGGAAATGTAACGGGGGAGGAGCGGAGACGGGTAAAGGAGCTGGTTGAGGGTGTTATGGCGGGGGAGGTGAGGTTTCCGGGTGATGAGGAGATCAGGGAGGTTTTGGGACGGTAGGGGGATTGGGGGTTGTGTGATGTTGAGGGCGAAATAGGGATGGGTCTATGAGTGAGAGATGCTTTTATGTCCTCACTAAGGACTTATATGCGTTGCGTCTCAGCAGGCTTCTCTATTTATTATCCACTATCTCCACGGTACATTTATCTTTACTGTCTCCATTGGAGTGGTCAGCTTCAAAGACGCTCAGACCTCAGAAATAGACAGGAAAAATGCCAACCTTTTCGATCAGGAATGACATGGGACATCCAGCCGCCAACATGATGTTCTCTATCACAAAGCTGACAAACCTATACCCAAACTCGTAAAAGAAAAAGAATAAAGCAACGATCAAGGAAAATGCCTGGTCCCATTCTGTGATTGCTTGCGGTGCGCACGGAACGAGAGCGCATCGCTTTATCAGCGCTACATTATCATTCATAGTGCCCCAAGTAATAGAGTAAACAACCAACGGAAAAAATGCGTAAAGAAAATACAGTCCTTCAGAGAGATGATACGCGGGATTCATGTTTTGGCCCAATACCATACACATGGTTATTGCAGAAGCTACCGTGAGCATGACATAACTAAAGGTGCTATGATTGGCTAGGTAGTCGTGAGAGTATGGTATAACGAGGAAGTTCGTCACTACGGGAAGTAGCAGGCCAATGGCGATGCACAGGAGACGCCGCTCGGCAAGTTTCCTGTTGACGGAATCCATGTCCCTCGACCTCACATGACATTGCCCCATTTGCAAGGATGCATTGGTGATGCCAACCCGTACCACCGCTAAAGCTGCGATAGCACTCTGCGACTGGGTATCGCCCGTTTTCTGGACCGTCCGACGTATGATATCGATGGCGGCCCAATTTGTGTATAGCGCATAGCTCATAAAGTGCAGATTGTGCTTGAGGTCGTCCTGATATATGAGTATCCATGAAGCAACGAGAGTAACCATCCATGCGGCCCATGTTCCTGGACCGTAGAATCCGCTGACCTCGGCATAGTCGGAGGGGGTTCGAGATGTTTCGAGTGACGTGACGGGTTGGGATGTGTTGGTAAATCGGTCGGAAAGGGACTGAAAGGAAGAAGTAAGATTAGGCTGTAGTCCGAGCATAGGCGGCATGATAACAAGGCTGGTCGTGTAGGTGCGGCAGGTGCAACCGTACGTGATATCCACCACCCTCTCAAATTTGTGTCGAAAAGCTGCAGACCGCGCAAATTGGAATATTGGACGAGTAACAAAACTGAAGTAGGCGGTGATTAAGAGTAAGCAAAGAATTTCCCAGCGACGGTTCAGCCTGATGGAGCCATGCACTATCGACGTGTGTGGCTTGCGCTCAGCCACATTCGCCAAAGCGTGGGGGCTGAGTGACCTGCACCTTCTCCCCTGGCGCGGCTTCAACGAAGAACAGAGTGCACCTTTGACTCAAATGGGACTTGGTCTTGGTTTGGGCTGGGGTTTGTGGTAGTATCCTGTTACACGGTACGATTGCGATAGCTTTGATGATGATCGCTTTATGGAGGGGGGTACAACTATCCAAAGAGAATTTGGACCAACCTCATTGCGAATAAGGTTTGCAGACAGAGGACCTACGAAGCTAGCGGCCACCACGAAGCTGAGCTAAGAGGATACGTGTGCAAGAGCGTGGAATAGCAGCACCGAACCAATAACTGGCAGCAGGAAACCTCTGCATAACTGTGGACGAAACATTCGTGTATTTCTTGGGCTACTTCGCAACTCGTTGCCAGATTGTCCACACACCTTGAACTGCTTTTCTACTAAGGCGAAAGATCTCATACCCAAACTCATACAAGAACAGGAAGACAGCAACTACCAGGGAAAAGACCTGGTCCCATTCCCTAATACCCTGTGGCGCACAAGGAACGAAATAACAATGTTCGGGCAAGCTAGCGAGGTAGGGAATCTGTGAAACTCCCGTCGTACCAGCAACAATGTATGCAGCAAGAAAGAAGGAAAGACCAAACACCACAATAGTGGCCGCAGATGAAAGGGGCAGTCCACTTAACATAGTTTCCCACATAAGTTTTCGAGGCCACAAAAGCTGACAAGCGTTGTAGCCCACAAGCAAGACGCCCAAAACACAACACACCAATAATGCAAACCAACTGAAACCGGACGCGGAAGAAAGCGTGAAAGCATGGAATCCCATCGAAAGTGGAAGCACTGCTCCAATACTCAGGACGAAACGACGTCGCGCCTCCAACGAACGTTTTGCATGAGCAATATGCTCAGCCTGTAGCCTACTAATACAAAATAACAACTGCGCAACGATCTGGTAAACTCCAAGCTGTATCACCGCAATGGAAGCAGCAATATTGTCAAGCCGTGAGCGGTCTTGGTCTGAGAGATCATGTCGGTCCGGTGGATAGGCCCACTTATCGTTGCGTATAAGGCCAATTGCAGCCCAATTCGTATACATTGCGTATCCGATGAAGTGAAGGTTGTGCGTGTAGTCCTCTTGGAGAAGGGGTATCCACGATGCAAACATGGTGATGACCCACGCAGCCCAATTGCCAGGACCGTATAAGCCGCTGACTTGCATCGACTCGGACGACGGTTGGACCATTCTCGGAATGATCATCGCAGTAATCGTAGGGTGCGAAGGACTGTGGTGACGGAAGGTATCGTGGTGAATGATCTGAGGCGGGGAGAGGTAGAAGACCTTGGGACACTTCTTCAAACCCTCAAAGTGGAACGCGACGATATTCAAAGTGACAGATTATGTTTCCAGTCTGTCAATTCGGGATGACATGAGAAACCGAGAAGGAAGATGTGCACAAGGCCTGGTGATATATCCTGGCTCCTACGAGGTCGGGGTGTGTGGCGCAGCGCAAGCCACAGCTGACAAGCGTGGCCATAGGGGCAGTGCAAGCCTTTACGTCATTTCTTCCCCTTCTCTGTCTTTCGCGCTGGAGCCTGAGGGGTCTTTTCGCGATGAAACATTTGTCGTGTACAATGGGTGAGAGATATTCGGTAACGGTGGTTTCATTTCTCCCCCTATTGGTACCTGAGATGGACGACGAGGAGGATAGTCTGCTATAGTCAGTCATCGTTAGCCCAAGGAAAGAACCGTAAGCTCTTGTTTTGACGACCTCATACTTTCAAGGCTCTCTTTTCGGGAGGACCTGATTGTGCCTAGGTATACGTGTATTAAGATGATTATATAACCCGTAGGGTATTATTAAGAAGGTGCCTAAGTCTAGTATAGCCCTCTAGTAGTATTAAGAAGGTCGTAAAACAAGAGTATGCAACCTATTCTCGGCCTACAGAAGCTTGGGCTATGCCTCTTATCGCCGCACGAGGTTTACCATTTACACGGCGAGGTATAGGGTAGGTACGTATGGATCTTGCAAGTTGTAAGTCGCTCGTCGCGATAGGTTAGGTGTGAAAATTGTGTTAGGTTTAGAGGGTTGATTTAGGAAGGGATAAACCCTATATACCGGGCATGTGCCATCCTTGGCGGTCATGTGACAGTCATCAAGAAAACAACCGTAACGCAACTACTTGTGGGCTCGCGCTCGAGTTTGAAGTCTTTTCGCGAGGAACTTTGGGTGTGTAGGTGATGGATTGGTAAGTCGATAACGGTGGTTTAACGCAAATCCTCCGTGTTGCAAGACGTATTTGTCTCTCCAATACCAAAGAAGGTCTTGTAAGAATATCGACTAGTACTACATGAGAGCAGATGTAGCAAGATTAGTCTAATCTCGATTAACAAACCTATACAAAATAGTATTAGTCCGTTACAGGGCTAGGAACAACGATAAAAGTAGCTGATTCGAGGAGCAACATACGTCTTACAACATGAAGTATCTTCACATCCCCATCCACTACGCCCTAAGCCCCTCGGGCGACCCCTCCTCCCCATCCCCATCCCCTCTCCCTCCCCCTCTCCTCCTCATCCTAAACCACCCCCCTTCCCCTCTCCCCCTCCCCATCCCTTCACCTTCCACCTCCCCATCCCTCTCCCCCATCCCCACAACAACCAACCCCTCCCCCCTCCTCTTAACAATCCACTCCACAGCCATATCCCTCTTCAACGGGCCCTCCCCCTTCACCCCCCACCTCCCCTCAAACAATCCATCACTTGGCGGACTATGATACCCCAGCACAAAAAGCACAAGCGGCTCGCACAAATCCGTGATAAGTTTGATGCGTAGCAAAACGGCGAAGTAGATCAGGATGAAGATGTTGATGAGGAGAGTGAGGGCGAGGACGACGAGGAGCGCTTTTTGGTAGGTTTCTGAGCCGCCGGACATGTATTGTGCTACGCGGACGGAGGCGTTGAAGTGTTGGGTTTGGGGGGTGGAGAAATCGTTGGCGGTGATATTACCGAAGGGCTGAAAAGGGAAGTTTTGGGTTAGGTCTAGGACGGTGCATGTTGTCATGCTTAGGAGTGCTTCTGCGGGGCTAGGGAGTGTTTTGTTGAGCTTGGGTTCCGTGAGTTGGAGTTGAGTGAATATACGGGCTGTTGAGGCGTCGCCGTCGAAGACTCCGTTGTTTAGACTGAGCGAGTTGAGGAGGTTGAAGCCGAGGTCGCGCCAGCCGACTAGAGCTGTTCTATCACCGGTAGAACGAAGGGGCTGAATGGCCGAGCCGTCGCTGTGTTTGCCGTTTGTGTCGTCGCAGACTGCTTCGAGGCTTTGGCCGCCGGAGGAGGCGTTGTAGCGTGTGGTGCAGGAGGTTGTGATGCTGGCTTTCATGGAGCAGAGGAAGTAGTCGGAGGTGGTGTTGTCGGGGGCTTTGCCGAGAAGATAGACTTCTGGTCGGTCGCCGAGCTCGTATGGTACTTGAGTGTGGTTTGCAATCTAGCCAGTTAGTCCATCATCTTCTGGTTCACTCGAACCCACTTACTGTGTTTCCTGCTTTCGGATACTTAAGGAAGACTGCGTGACGTGAGTAAAATTTATTTATGCAGAGGATCGAACTTACTTGGTCTAGCACGCGAGTGATCTTCCGTCTCGTCCTTCCACCCAAACACATCATCAAGTACTGTTTTGTTGTTCGTGTTGGTGCCTTCTGGAAATCCTAGGATTGGCCACCAGTTGACCGACTTCGAGCCTTCTTCCATCGAAATTGCATTGGGCCAATTGGTATATATGAGTGGAGCTAGCTCCTCCTCTTTGGCATTGACACAGAGTGCGTTCAAGGCAAAGCTAGCGACCGAAGCGTGGATAGAGTATGAGCCACCGTCATGGAGATCCTAGAAATTTGTGAGTATGGTATAAATGTGGCATGGATGATCCACCTACTTCTGGCTGCAGCAAATCATTCTGGACATTGCGAGCTGCTGCCGGTATTCCTCGATGAGGGACGGCTATAGTGATGTTGTTGACTACACAAGATTAGCGACGTAAGACCAAAGGAACTTCGGCCACGAACTTATCCTGCCTGCCTTCTCAGAATCGGCTGCAACATCATGATCATCAAGCCACGCAGTAGTAACAGTGACATTGTTGTCTAGCGACGCACTAATCGGCCTCCGTTCCAGAAGGCGCTCAGACATCCAAGCAGGGTTTGTTGCAGCTGCTTGATCGTCCCATGCGGACATGTATTTGATAAAGTTGCGGCCACAGAGCGAAGACCACTTCATGGCAAGACATGTGCTACCGCCCCATTGTGTGTCGCCGACGTCGGGCCAGGCAGTGAGACAAGTCTTGTCAGCTTTCAAAGTGCTGGAGAAGTCGCCGTCTACTTGACCAGCAAGCATTTGATGCTCCCAGGGTGGGAGGCGTAGCTGTGGTTGCACTGAGATGTGTCAGCGACTCATAGTAAAAGACCAAGGGTACTGGCATACCAAGAGCACCCGCAGCAGTCGTATATAGTAGAGAGAGGATGGCCGTAATCAGTGAGAGTACTCCCAACACACTGAAGCCAGCGACCCTGACGCTGTGCCACCCGCTGAATAATTTCCCTGGTTGACTTCCCCAAATCAGCCAACATGAGCGCTGGCCCGAAACGCGGTCAACTTACAGAATCCAGGATCGCATCGACACACTAGCCAAATTGATGCCTTTCTGCTGAATAGCTCTTCGCGACAGGACCTGCCCTATGAACGCCAAGAATACCATCACGAACGATAGCTCGACAGTCTTGGCGATGAAAGCCGTCAATAGCGCCGCCGAGGAAGGGGAAAATCGCCCACGTGCTGATACGACATGTCCATATTTTGGCTGTATCAAAGCGACGATGAAGAACAAGGCCGAACATAATGTCGAGTATAATGACGTCAATAGTAGTGTTATGGAATATCCGCTTCGTTGTGGTTCCAGTAAGCCTTGGGTGTACAAAAGTGGTAGCATGCTCCTCGAGCTATCTAACCGAATTGAGCTTTCACGCAGACAAATCAGGGGTGTTGTCTTACTTTTGGAGTCAGCGGTGAAGCTCCTCATGCTGCGTCCATCCGCCGGACTGAGGAAGGGGTTCTCCGCTGCATCGTCTCGCGGGCTCGCCATACTGTCGGGATGATGGCCGTAACCAAGACCATGGACGACCCGCTATATACGCGAAGAGAGACTGAAAATCAAGGATAAGCGAAGGATGGGGCGCAGGTCGCAGAGGCGGCGCGGTGAGGTGAAGCAGGTTATGATTATTTTAGTGGTTTCAGAGCGGCCGAGCAGTCGCCTGCGCCCCACGTCAGCGCCGTTGATCGTCTAGCAGATCACATTATCGGATGCGACGGAAACTGAGGAATACGATGTCAACCATCCAAATGCCATTATTTCTGATCTAACATGTGCTTGAACTTTTCGATCTGCATTATTGTCAGCAAATTTCGCATCTCGAAGTGTCGCAATCTGGCGTTGGCTCACCTTGGTACTAAGGTACTTCTCTACTTCTTCACTTTTAATGCCCTTCATGCCGCCTGTTTTCCACGCAAGCGGAACCATGGCGACGCGCTCCCTCACGACGACTTCTCTATTCGGCCCCTCGACAGCATGGACTTTATCTGGGTTGTTGGTCAAAAGTCTAATCCCTCTGTCTCCGTCTAAGCCCAGATCCATGAGCATAGCCGTGGCCAAGCCGTAGCTTCGCGCATCTGCAGGATGCCGTAACATGATATTTGCTTCATATGTGTCGTTGCCTAGATCTTGCAGATTGTATGCCTTGAGCTTTTCGCCTAGACCGATTCCACGACCCTCTTGGCGGAGATAGATAATAGCACCACCAGAAGGTGACAGAGTAGGATCGGCCATAAGCCGCGCGGCTTCGTCGAGCTGCTCACCGCAGTCGCAGCGCGCAGACCAAACAGTCTCGCCGGTGTAGCATTCGGAGTGTATGCGGACGAGAGGTAGTTCTAGAGAAGAAGCTGGCTGCACGTCGCCGTTCTCGGATGAGGATGCAGAAGCTGGCGACAACAGGCCGTTGCTCTTGTCCACGTGCGCGGAGTCGGCGTCGGGCTTGCGCTTCGTGGGCACGCCCTCCTGCCTCTTGAGCTGCTCAACCCGCGAGCTGGTCCTCCCCGGGTACAGGCGTCCGACGTATGCGCCTCTTGTCATGCGGTCTAGCTCCGTCTCTCCCGGGCGCTCTGCATCCAGCGATCTCGAGCGTATTTGGCTCCCAAAGACAATTGCCAGGTGTTCCTTGGTGTCGACGCTGTTCCTGTACACATGCAGCCACATCTCATGCCCCGTGGTTGTGGGTATCCGCGCACGCACTTCGCACTCGACCGTGGGCAGCTTGGGCAGCAGGTCCGGCCGCGGCGTGTCGGTGCGCACTGAGGTATCGACTGGTATGGAGCGGGGTGGCCGGGGCCGCGAGGGGGTCGAGACGCCCGGTGTCGCTGGAGGCGTGAAGGCAGGCGATATTATCGAGGGCGGGGGACTGTGGTGTTCATCGCCGTTTGCGACCCGTTCCGGCGTCTCTGCCTCGAGCTGTGACGTCTGGAAGTCGAAGCCGTCTCGCCCGGCGCTCGAGAGGTGTGGTGAGAAATGCGGCGGGAATGCGGTCATGTTGGAGGGCATGTTGGAGACAAGTGAAAGTGCAGGGTAGTAGCTCTAGTACTGCAATCGCATCGCAAGTGAGACTGAAGGCGTGAGGTACTCTCCAGCGCCAGTGGGGTCGAATGACTGAATGACATATCCGAAGCCGCTGCTCGGACCCGCCGCCTTCTAGCCGCGGCTGCGCAAAATCACTAAGCACACCACTTGTGTCAGCAATTAGGAATCGGGGTGGACGCTTCCGACGATTATTTCCCCGACTCGGCTGACTGCCTAGCCGTGAAGTCGGAGCAATTCCACAGCTGCTTTCGGGAAGTATCTGAATCATCTTGAGTGACACAATAATTTTGATATTCTGGCTACAGATCCATCCTTCACATGCGAACATATTCTGTACAGTGTCCTCAGCTTGGCATTCGAAAGTGCCTCTTTCTGTGCATCCCAGGCAATTGCTGATTCGGCCAAGAATGCGGCTTCAGGATCTTCGGCATTTGTGTGAGGTGAAGGTGCGACGAGCCTGCTTTGCGTGGTGAAAGCGCATACAGGCGCTTTGCCGGTGACGTAGCGGGCAGCTCGACCTTGTACCAGAATCGACCAAATCCGCCCCGCCAACCCTTGAACTTCGCATGAATATCCCCTTCAGTCCACCATGAATCAATCCACCCTACGCTCTCTGCCCCAGACCTCGTCTGCGTTCTTCTTGCCTTTGGTTTCCGGCACGAACCACGTAATGAAGGCGAAGAAGAACGCTGACAGTGCCGCGAAAATGAAGTAGACATATCCGTGTAGCTTTGCGCTTGCCAGCGGGAAGAACTGTGCCACGATGAATGTAGCGATCCAGTTGGCTCCGAGCGCAATACTTTGTGTTGCGTCGACAGCATCCGGGCCCACCAGCTCGCTCGCTAGGATGAAGGGCACCGGGCCAAGACCAACAGCGAAGCCGGACACGAACAGCAGGACTGCGACTGCGGACAGAACAGAAATTGACTTGATGATGCCAATAGCAAGTAGGAGCGAGCTCGTGCCCATGATGGCGAGGGAGCTGAGCAGGCAGACCTTGCGACCCAGCTTGTCAGCAAGGGGCGCGCAGCTGGCGGTGACGATGATGTTGAGCGCTGAGACGGCAAGATTGAGCAGTGCAGAGTTGGACTCGAGTAAGCCTGCTAGGAGCGACACGCCGTACATGACGATGCTGTTGATGCCGCTAAACTGCTGGGCCAGCATGACCATGACGACGGCAACGGCGGCCTTTTGGTAGTCGGGATGGCGGAAGACTTGCATGATGCTCAGCGTCTGTTCTTTGCCTGACTCCTTGGGCCTCGCCTCAGCCGACCCATCTTGGTTGCTCAGTAGTGTCTGCTCCTCCTCTGGAGAAATATTAGCATGCTGTCCATCAATGGACAGGCTTAGACGACGTACCACTGACGTTGCCGGAGCCCGAGACTCCCCAGTCGTTCATCTCGTCTTCAATGTCTGCATCTTCTCCCCTGATCTTGCGCAAAGTCTTCTTCGCGAGCGAGACATTACCCTGCTCTGCGATGTACTTTGGGCTCTCGACCGACAGTAGCAGTCCGGCGCCTTGTACAGCACCGATGACACCTCCAATGGCCAAGATAAGCCTCCAGTAAGAGTCGTGGCTCAAGAAGTAGCCCAGCAACTGCGTGATGAGAATGCCCACGTTGCACCCGATCTGGGTAAAGGCACCGAAGAAGCCCTTCTCGCCCGGCGGTGCGATCTCAGAGATGTAGAGGGGCACAATGACGACAGCCGCGCCTGCGCCGACTCCTGACAACAGCCTTCCAAACGCCATGACTCCAATGTTTGGGCTCAGCGCCTCGAAGATTGGGCCTACGGCGAAGAAGATGGAAAATAGCTGCATAGACCTGAGGCGGCCGTATTTGCCTGCCACTGGCCCTGCCGAAAGCGCTCCAACCAGACCTCCCAGTGTGTACAGCGATCCCACGACGCCCCATTCGGTGGGGCTCATCTCGATGCATTGCGGGAGGTTCGGGCCAGCGACGGCCGACGTGATGGACTTGCGTTTACAGCGGATGACATCTTCGGGCGCGTTCAGCTCAGACTGGGCGTGTTAGCTATGCGCCGGCAAGCATGACGTTGGGACCCACCAGGTGAAAGCCGAAGAGGAGCGGGCCGAGAGTCGCAATCGACAGGATGTAGACAAAGTAGCCCGTCAGGCTGCTGAACCACGAACGCGGGTCCATGGCGGGGTCTACGTTACGTGGTAGAGGTGAGGTGTGAGGTTTGAGGCGCCGTTGTAGCTTCCTGGACGTGTCAGCCGCCTCGTAGAACGTGACATCGCAATGACGATGCCGCACCGCGCCTACCTGTTCAGGCCGCTCAGATAAGAGCGACAAGGGTCTGGTTATCACCGCATAGACATGGAAGTTCCAAGGCTGTCTGAAGCTTGAGGTTTCACGGTGGTGAGAAAGAGGTCACGGTGGTGGCATGTGAAGCTTGGACGACGACTGGCCGGAGCAAGTGGTTGGGTCCAAGACTGAGGCTCTGCGGGGAGCCATACTTGGTAGCCTCCATCGATGCATGATTGGAACCTGTTTCTCAGCCCATAGACCCTCTAAACTTCAGGCCAGACATTCTACACATTCTGCGCATCTATCGACGCCGAAGCTCGCCATCTCGGACCGCGTCCCACACGTGCAGGACTCACCGGAATAGTTCCGTGGACGCGTTACTGCCGCGTCGGGCGTGGAGACGTCAGCTAAACGAGAGGCTGAGGCTGATGGCAAAAGCATGAGCCAGCGCTCCAATTCCCCGCCGGCCTCGTCGGCTTCTGTTGCGGCATCCGCCCGAGCCCCATCGCGCAAGAACAGCGCTGCGACAGCTCCCGACGGTACGCCTCTGCTTTCTCTACGTGTCCATCAGTCATCCCCTCCTGTATGTTCGCGTGTCCTCCCCCGTCCAGCCTCCCCTCAAGTCACCGTCGCTTCACGTTGCCTCATCTGGCGCCTCCTGGCTGAGCGCCACTGCCTGCGTGATTGTTGTTCCTGCCGTCAGCAATTGCCGTTCGTGTCCGCATCACCCCCTTCTGTTGACGTTGCTGGACCCTGCTGCATCTTCCGAGCTATCATTTCTACGTTAGTCCCTAGGAGCGAGTACTAAACCTGTTCCTGAAGACCCGCTAGATTCCGTTGATGCCATGTTCACTGGCTACAACAACAAGAAGCGAGTCACAGAGCGCTACAAGATTGTCGGCTTCATCAGCAGCGGTACCTATGGACGCGTCTACAAAGCCGAGGGCAAGAATGGCCGCACCGGCGAGTTCGCCATCAAGAAGTAGGTCGAGCGGACCTTGACCGCCGTATCTGCTAATGCGCCCAGATTCAAGCCGGACAAAGAAGGCGAACTCCAATACTCTGGCATTTCGCAATCCGCCATACGCGAGATGGCACTGTGTACTGAGCTGGCACATCCCAACGTCGTGCACACCGTAGAGATCATCCTGGAGGACAAGTGCATCTACATCGTCTTCGAATATGCCGAACACGACTTACTGCAGATCATCCACCACCATAATCAACCTCAACGGCAGGCGATACCTGCACCGACCATCAAGTCTATTCTTTATCAGCTGCTGCAGGGACTGGTCTACCTGCACCGGAATTGGGTCATGCACCGCGATCTCAAGCCTGCTAACATCATGGTCACCAGTGCTGGCAAAGTCAAGATAGGCGACTTGGGTCTTGCTCGCTTGTTCTACAAACCGCTGCAATCTCTCTTCTCAGGCGACAAGGTCGTCGTGACAATATGGTATCGCGCACCTGAGCTCCTTCTTGGCAGTCGTCACTATACTCCTGCAGTCGATCTGTGGGCGGTGGGATGCATCTTTGCCGAACTGCTATCCCTACGGCCCATTTTCAAGGGAGAGGAGGCAAAGATGGACAGCAAGAAGACGGTCCCGTTCCAGCGCAACCAGATGCAGAAGATAGTCGAGATCATGGGCATGCCAAGCAAAGACCGGTGGCCGCTACTGACGGCCATGCCCGAACATCCTCAGCTCTCGTCCCTGGCCTCAGGCAACGCTGCACGATTTCCGCGTCCTCAAGGTGGCGACGGCTTAGAACGATGGTATCACCAGACCCTCAACAACAACCAGTATCCAATAGGCTCTGGACCAGATACACCTGGACCCGAAGGACTCTCGCTGCTTAAACAGCTGCTTGAGTACGACCCCCAGAAACGACTAACAGCGGAGAAAGCGCTGTCACATCCCTACTTCACCGTTCACGGCAAACCAGCCGACAGCTGCTTCGAGGACTCGAAGATCAAGTACCCCGTCAGGAGGGTCAGCCAGGAGGACAACGATATCCGCACGTCTAGTCTACCAGGTACCAAGAGGAGTGGCCTTCCGGACGACTCAATCATTGGACGTCCCGCCAAACGTCTCAAGGAAGGATGAAGAGACTCGACACCACAGTGTTGTGCTGCGCTGTGATCTGCACGGGCGATGCGATGCAGCTTCCCGTGTGTACGTACTGCCTCAGTCGTTGCGGCAAATTTATCCCTGGTTGTCGGCATGGTGTTACCTCACCGGACCGATGAACAGCGGCCTTGGCGGCGCAGACGGCTTTGTGCGAGTCGCCATCTTACACAAGCGTCTTGGTGAGGATCTTGGGACGCTCTCGGCCCTAACGTTGGTGCGACACGAACACGGCGGGAATCTGATGCTGTACCAGCATTTGTCGATGAACTGGTCCACGACGCAGGGGCGACGCGTCCGATGAGCAGGTGCGAGTACACTGTCCTGCTGTATCGGTTTAGTGGGATCCAGGTTGCGCGAAACCTGGTAATGGGCTCTGAGACCAATGGTACGTCTTGTCTGTACTTGGGAACTGCTTTCCCGTTCGTACTGGGAGCAGAACAGTGCACAAAAAGGATCCTCGGGCGTTTTGGCACATACGCTGCGTCATCGCGACGGCGTTGGACTTGAGACATTCAAGTCAGCCTCTCTTACCCCAACGCATACACAACGAGGGATAGACGTCCTG